GGTAACGGCTTGAGGTTTATTATAGATGGATTATTATCAGAGAAGAGAGGACTGTTCTGCCCATTGAGCTCTGGAATAAGAGAACCGGCTGCCATAAGACCCCCTGTCGTTGGATCAAACTTCAGTCTACACTCCACCCCCTTCACAGAATCGAGAACCGTCTGTATTTTCCCTAGCGAACGGTTTACCTTGTTTATTTTACGGGACGGCCACCTCAGAATCCCATGTTGTCTGCATATTCTTTTCAGGGTTGTTGGGCAAACTGTAAAAGCCATTGAAAATGTATAATCTATTTTAGAACGAACATACTTGAAATATTTCTTATAAATATTTTGATCTATGCAAGTCATGAGAGGATGTTAAAGGTTAATAGATTTTCATCTCTAGTTCATACTGCAACATTCTAATGTTGTTAGCAAGTACCCATCGTCCTCGATCACAATAGCTGGGATCATTTTTTTTAATTCTGTTCGGTCGTCCAGCGTTTATTGGTCATTGGTTTTTAGTCTTTTTTTCTATACTTCGAGTTATTAATGAAATATGGACATTTATTTAAATAGAATGAAACAAAAACTGAAAGAAAGAATCTGCAGGCTCACCACCAATGCTCTTCGCTGCATCCTTGAGACTCCCAGAAAAATATTGCTGAAGAACACTAAAGCTCACGTTTTTTTCAGCTGTGCTACGTTTTTTGTCCGCCTGCCTCCGTGTACCATTAGTCGTCTGCTGGATAAGATGCATAAGAAACTGTTAAAGATAAATCCGTTACCCGTTTGTAAATGTGCACCAAGGAAAAAGGCACAGAAAATTTCACCCGTAAATTAAATTATACTGTTCAATAGTCAAAATGGAAAATGCACCACGCAATGTGGGAGACACAACAAATTTGAAATTCCATGCCCATCTGCCACTTCAAAGTAAAGGGGGATGCAGCAGTCTTATAATACATTCCTATCTAGACAATGCTATCCATCTCAAAATCAGTCTTGTGTGCCTTTTCAGCTTATCGGTTCTATACTCTAAATTACGTACAGGAACAGTTATACTAAAAACAATCAAAGAACAAACTGGCCATGGATAGGTGACCAGGAAAATGAGTGATTGAAGTTTTGTAACGGCCCAAGCCCACATCTAGCAGATATTGTCCTCTTTGAGCTTTCCCTTTCCGGCTTCCCCTCAACGTCTTTAAAACAAGTCCACTAGAGAGAGTTTTCCACACCCTTATAAAGAATGCTTCATTCTCCTCCCCAATCGATGTGGGATCTTACAAAAGTATTCTCATTGGACCAAAACCCCGCACCTCTTCCCCCCCACCCCAAAGCACCTAACCACAGAGAATATCTAACAGCTAGGGATGGTCTAGACATTCAAGGATGTACACAGCAGATAATTTTACTGTGACAGATATAAACCTTCATCCTTTTGTATCGGATTAGTGTAATAATTAAACAGACGTTTCTTGATAGGTCCAAATTATACGTACAATCAGACTGTCTGATGCAACGTTTTCTATTGAACGCCCCCCAAATATCTACATTTTCTATTTAACACCACTCATATATCTACATTAATCACGAGCAATCATCGAAACTGGATCCAATCCCTAAAATGGCCTTTACAGAACTAGGGAGACCCTAGCTGTTGCAAATTGTTTCATTGTTAAGTAAAGGGTGATTTCAGATATTTTTTGTGCAATTAAACAAACAATGACCTTATGCCTTATTTAGAGGGCAATCAGTACCATAAAAAATGAAAGATTGAAATGTTAAAATGAGATGATTAATAAACAAAAGACAAAATGGCAACAACAAAGGAAACAATAGAACATGGAAAAATAAAAAATAAAATGAAATGAAATAAATAGAACGATAGAACAACAAACAGGATCACAGAAATAAAATAACCTGCTTCTTAGGGCATTCCGCTTTAGTTCCATCATTTATCGAGTTAGATACCCTTGTTTCACTGTCTGTAACCGTAGACTGTGAGTTTCTCCTGGACGTAGTTGCAGACTTACCGACCATTCCACTCTGGAATCCAGCATCAGGATCCTTGGCCCCCAATAATTCGTCCTTTGAAACTGTTCTCAAGCTCCGGCACATTCTTTGCATGGTACCAGAGAGATTGTTCAATAAAAGTTGCTGTTCTGAGCTTCCTTTCATATTGACAGGTAGAAAGAATTCGAGTATATAATCATCAGCACCAGTGTATGTGCTTCTCAGCCTGATTGCAACAGCAGCATTCAAACCAAACTTGCGTGCATGATGGACCAGCGGATACTCATTAATATTATATGCCTTCACGTCAGGATAAAAGAAGGGATGATTAGATTGAAGAGCTTTCCCAACTATCCCTTGTCCTTCTTCAAGATGATGTTCCGTACACGCATGCACAAATCCTTGAGTTGCTTTGTCATTCACATAACATGCTGTTTCCTCAATGCATAATACAGATTTCCCCTTTGGGCTGACGTCGTTCTCCTTCACACGAACTCTAGCAGCCTCATCAACAGCTTGCATGGTATAACAGCAAGGAATCCAGGTGAGTGCCAGAGGTAGCCTATGTGCATGACATACAGCGCGTAGCACATCTGTTATCTCTGCTAATACAGATCTCTGGTTCTGCTTCAAACACTGTAAAAAATATTCCATTGATATAACTAAAGATGTAAAGGTGCAGAATTAAAAATATATTTGAAAGGAGATGGCTATTGGCAATAATTGTCATGTACTTTATCATAAGTGATCAAGAAATAAAACAATATAAGCAGAAATCTTTCTTTCTTTTTTTTTTTTTTCTTTCTATGACCACCACAATGTGAGTTTTCCAACAATAAGGGAACCTTTTCACTTGAGAGTATCTACATACTACTAAAAGGAAACTGCAGAAAAAACTAACATATATTGCAGCCAATATTACCTGAGGATATAGTCGAGGCGGTGCAATAGTTCTCAAGCTAACAATCTGCAACAATCATGGTCCAAAAAAATATCATGCAACAATAAATCCATATGATATAATTATTCAAAAACTCCAAAAAGTGGACTGCTAGAAAAGTATCACTAGACAACAGAAAATTCCATAGAAGATGAGTTGTTCGAACTGAATGAATTAGTTACTGCTTATAATCATGTTCAACCTTTAGAGAAACATGTCATGTACTTATCAACGAGCTATCGTACGTATCCTTACTGAAATGCTATTGCATATTGGCATGATATGTGTCCGTATAAACTTTAAGATGCCAAAGGAAAATATTACCTTACCTGGCGGTAGAAAACTTCGTCATAAAAAAGAACAAGAAGAAACGAAAAGAAACCACGTGATAAAAACTTGAAACGCTACCTCAAGGTTCACATGATATTTATTAATGAAGTTTATAAATTTATAGCATAAAAAAGTTCTAAGTTTCATGCTGGATGGAGGTCAAAACCCAAATTGAATAATCAGAAACCAAAAAAATCTGTCAATTCCCTTCAATTTAATAGAAAGGATAGAGCATTGTACTTCATACTCTTCACCACCAAGAAGGTTTTTTTAAATAAGAATTGATCCCCAAGAAGTTAGCTTCAAGTAATCAGAAACGATTATTTGTAACTATCGTATATCAGGAAGTAATAGTATTTGAGTGAATGTGAAGAACTAACCTCCAGCGCTCGGGAAACAATGTCAATCTCTGCATCAAAATTGGGCTTCTCCTTTGTCGTAACAACTTCAAGTACGGCACAGCATGACCTTTCAAGTTCATTACTGAATATTGGTAAGGCAATTGATCCATAAACCTCGTGACCAATTGCGTGTTCCATTCTCAGATACTCAGCGTCACTGTAATATCTAACATTTGATGTCCATTCTGGAATTTTGGAATTGAAAACACGACCAGGAAGTCCAAGGAGAGAACCCAGTTTCCCTTCCGCAGAGAATGTATACCACCTCGACACTTCACGGTACCCAGTGAGCATTTGATCGAGCAAATACGGCTGATCAGTGGTGCTCAGGAAGAATTGGTTTCCATGCTTCATAGGCACCCAGACTTGAGCCAAAATACCTCCGGGTGAAGACTCTTTAAACAAGGACAATGCCCTCAGCATTCTCTCATCAAGTGACCAACCAATCGGCCTAGAAATCAGACAACTATCCATGTCTTGGACGTTATTTGAATTCGAACCTGATTCATTTGTGTTGTCCGAAACATCAGATACCCCAAATTCAGTATCTGGCTGCTGAAACATAACCTCATCTCCACAGGTAAAAGAATTCACCACGGAAATGGAAGCTCCACCAAGTTCATTCAAAGTAAGTATTTCATGGCTCCCCCCTTCTGGGAAAGTTGAGCCCTCCATAGAAGGGCAAGTACTCGTTGGTGGAATCGACGAAATTCCACAAGAGGTGAAAACCGGATCCATTACTGCACAGTTGTTGCCCCATCCTGCATAAGAATCAAAACTCATCAGCTCTGAGATGCTGTGGAGCACATCTTCAGGACTAGGAATCCTCATTCCAGCGTCAGTAAAAGTCAGAGCATCGGCCTGAGTTCTGGAAGGCCCCCAATACCCCATCCCTTCCTCCTTGGATGGAAATGGGTTTTCCATATTGAATAATCAACAACAATCTCAGAAATCAAATAGCAATTGATGCTAAAATTCCATCCACCGACAGCGCCCAAAACAAATACTCCTAAGCTTACTATCCTTCTCCGCCATTACAAAGTTGAGAAAAACATCCATTTATATCCCCCCACAAGTTCTGATAAATTAACCCCACGCACATAACTACAAAACTATACTTCTCCAAAGATTCCCCAAATACCAACAAAATCGAGCTAAATCGAAGGACCAGGGTTCCACCGCACAACACCACCCTTATCTTAAGTCAACAAAATCCCAGGAAAAGGGGAGCTAAATTCAACATCGGAGTACCCAAAAAATGACGGATGCTACCGCAAATCACTGAAGAAAGCAGCCAAAGGTGTGAGTTAAGAGTAATCGAAGAAGAAACAGCGCAGAGTCAGTTACCGTCTGAGAAATCACTGAAACCCAAGCAATCTCAGCAGAAGTTCACAGAATTCCAGGAATTAGAGATAGGAATGGGGATTGAGAAAGAGAGAGAAAGACTTCTCCTCCATAAAAGGGGAAACCCGAAAAACCCTAAAAGAGACATTGCGGCGTGGAATGTTTGGATCAGAGCGAATGTGTTGGAATTGGGTTACCTGAAATAGAAAGGTTTGTCGCCATTGAAGCTGCTTTTGGAGAAATTCTCAAGCTTTTCTTCTTTCAGGTGGAAACAATGAAGAAAAGAACCTTTTTGAGCAATAGAAGAAGCAAAGGATTTGCAGAGACTCAGAAACAGAGAGAGAGAAAATTGGAAGCTTTTGCTTTCAGCTTTCTTTTCACCTCCTTTTTCTTGATCCATCGAAATTGTGGAATGTCCAATGCACATTGAAATTACAACTATGACCTCAACTCCTTTTCTTTTTTTTTTTTAAATATATTTTTTAGTATATTTATATTAATTCTACCAACCCATTTCTTAATCATAACTTTATCGGCTCACAAGGCATCGTTGTGCAGTAGGGTTCGAACTTTCTTTCGCTCATGTGACCTGCTATGTTTTCCTTGATCTCCATTCATAAGTAAAAAGTCTGTGGCCTACAGGTATCTAGATTAGATATAGATAATCTATGAACTGTGGATAGATAGTTTTAATCCATTTTTTTAAAAAAAATACCCTAAATATAGGTATTTTTGAAATAAAGTTGTTGAAATGTATTCATTTATTAATTTACCTTTTAGGTCATTTTCTAAACGTTTATTGAAAAAATAAAATAGGGGTAAAAGAGTAATTTGGCGAAGAGGAAATGTGGAGAGTAGCGTGGTGACACGTGGAAGTGGATTTCGATTAAGATTCAGTGAGAAAGGGATCTCATTCCAATTCCCAAACGGGAAACTCCCATTCCCATATCTGACGTCATCCAAAAACTTATTATTATTATTATTATTATTATTTTATTTTTTATAATTAAAAAATCCAAAATTATCTCTTCAATTTTTTCCCTTTCTACTTCTCAATTTGAAATTGGTTCCTGACCTATAATTTTAGTTTTTTTTTTTTCAATTTTATAATAGTTTAGTAGCAAAAGATCATTTGAATAATTGTCGGTATATTTAATTAATATTTAACATAAAATATTTTTGCGAAAAATGTTATAAACGTTGTGTTTATGTCATATGAGTTGGGTTTAGATCTTCAGCCGATCTTGAAAATTTTAAACCTAAGTATTAACTATACAAGCGTGTTCGTTTCAAGCAACCAAGCAACCAAGTTTGTTTTTTTACCTTTCTAAAAGATAAGGAATTTTTATGTGGAATATTTTTGTTGGAGAGTGTTAAAAATTGGGCACGAGAGCAAAAGAATCTGATTCAATTCGTTTAGTATGTTTTATTAACAGGGAGAAGAGAATTAACACTTCTCATATCACGTTAGGTCTCTCTAGCTTCGTTGGGTGTCAAAGCCCTGGAAGCGATATTGATCAATACATAGTGGACTGGTTTCCTGGGCTTCTTAATCAGCCTGAATACTTAACGATTTGAAGGGGGCTACTATGGTTGATTGGCAGTGGTTCTTCAGATCGATCACAAATTCTCGACTCTGTCGTTTGACTTCCACTTAGTTGACCTCTCTGGGTCTATTATTGAACTTTTAATAATACCATTCAATTTTGAAAAAAATCACTAATATCAATTTTTTTTAAATACCCAACAAATTAAAAAAGTAGCGTAAAAAAAATAATTTTTTTTTTATATTACATTATCGCATTATGATATGAATGGTAAAGACGTGGTGTTGATAGTTTAAATATCAATATTTTTGTAAATATTTTAAAAAGAAGAATCTAATATTTTATGACATTAAATATAAAAATCATATTATATATAATTCGGTTACTCAAATAATTAAAATTAATTAATCATCCCAACCCACTCGAAATTAAAGTGGAAAAATCGAATTAGGTGTGGATCCATTTTAATTTAAAAATGTGGTAATCAAACCATTAAAAATAAAATACAATATAAATTGACTAAAAATATGATCTTAGTGTATAATTTAGATTAGAAAATAATCAGTCAAGAAGTATGGGAGAAGTATGGGAGTGGGGAAAGCTTGCAAACCGTGTGGACTATGGAATCAAACTATATAATAAAAAAAATGAAGATATCAAACTATATAATAAAAAAGAAATACGATACCGATATTGGGCTTTCTATTGTATAGTTTTCGAACATGGGTTTCATTATCATTGGAATAGAAACTGGGACGATCACAGCCGTCCATCTTGATTCCTATATCAGATTTGATTCCCCCACCAAGATTCCATGGTTTGGCTTGAAAATATTCTCGCAATTATTTTAGTTTTTTGTTAATAAATTATTTGAATTCGAATACGACACTTTGGTCTCGACATTTTTTTGTATCTCGTGCAACATAGTCATGTTATCTACTCATCGTTTTTCAATAGTAAAAACTATTTTCATAGACCAACACGAGTCATTTTAACATGGTATATTTCATTCACATGCATTCTAGAAAAATGCACATGATGTCACGTAATATAAAATGACTTCAAGTATACTTAACTATGAATTTCCTATGATTGAGTCGTTGAAAAAAAAAATGCACTGTTGGTATAGATAATAACTTTAATTTCTTTTAAACATTTTGTAGTCATCCAATTCTCAAAATCGCTCTTATTTTGATGTAGTATCAGTTCATTCATTTACTTTTTTAGGTGTCACAACCTCTATTATGGTTACGATTCAACCAAGTTGCCGCCGCCCTTCCTACCAAAATTGGCTTCTTCGCCCGATGAGGCAACTCTTCCGACTGCCCTTCTCGCCAAAATTGGCTCCATTCGCCCAATGTGGCGACTCTTCCGGCTTCAACATTGTCTTTGTCCCTTGCTCTAGGTTTCCCCTTCTACTTCTTGGGGTTAGAAATATTCTCACCAGAGCCAAGGCAGCATCGTCGCTAAGCGACAATCCCTCTTCATGAGTTAGACATATTCTCGCCGAAGCCAAGGTATCATCGCCGCTGAGCGGCGATCCCTCTGCAAATTTTTGATGGCCAAGAACCGGGTTGTTAGCATCTTCATGAAAAGTGTTTCTCAACCTCTTTGAATTTTTCAGATTCAAGCTTCACGTTCGTTTAAATCCGACGCTTAGCTTGCGGTGGGGTGTTAAGGATATTTAGTAATAAATTATAGTTTACCATATATATTATATTTGATATTTTATTATAAGGCAAATATTTCTAATATTTGCCTTATTATCATAGGTATCTTTTCATTTATTGTTATTTCCATTTATTACTATTTTCATATCCTTGTAATTCATTTGGTTATAAATAAGATAACTTTCACATCATTTAGTCGGGTGGATTAATCAAACATTCACAACCTTGTTATTATCTCAAATAAATGTAACTTTGCGTGTCAGAGATTGAGTCTGCTTGCATGCATCTATTCTAACTATATCGTTTACCTGTCTCGATTTACGGTCCAATCGTCTAGATCAAATTCATTTTCTAAAAACAACCCAATTTCTTAACCTGACCGTCGGCAGTCGCTTGGTCAATGAAAAAGGAGAAAAGCTCGGTCGGCGGCTCGAGGAAGAACATCAGGCTGAGAGAAGCTGCATTTTTTAATATTGAGAAAGCCAAAAGGTCGTTCAATTAATTAATGACAAAACATTCTTTTAAATATTTAATGCCAGCAAATTGATAAATTAAATTATTATCATATTAATATAAAAACAAATTAAAAATAAATCCATTATAATTATAACTAATAATAAAATTAGAACAAATCAATTATTGAAATTAAATTAACGAGTAATTATTATTTAGATTCGTGATTTATTTGTATAAATTAAAAACTATCATATAAATAAAAAGACATTTTGATATACAAATATATATATATATATATATATATATATATAATACAAGTGTCATGTGACCCATTATTCTATCCAAAGACCATACATGCATTATACATCAATAATTGATATGTTCTTTTAATTAAAAAAATATATAATAAAAAACTTTTAAAAAGTAAATTCTGCAAATGGGTTTAAAAAACAATGAAATTAATAAAAAAAGATTTAGTCTACTTTAATAAAAATTGACGACAAAAATCATTATTAACAAATTAAAAATCCATTGAGTTTTAAATAAATAAAAAAAATGGCAACTAATTAAAAAGTATAATTTTGAAAATTTAAATTTAAAACTTTTTATTTATTTATTTATTTCATAAAAGTTTAAGGTATTACTGTAATTTTTGAAAATTCAAACGTATTTTTTAAGAAAGTTTGAAAGTATTTTTTAAATAAATTATTAATATTTTTCATTAGTTTGAATTTTTATTTTTTAAAATTAATGTAGCATAATTAGAAAAGAAAAGAAAAGAAAAGAAAAGAAAAAGAGAGGCAAAATTGGGGGTAGAATAGACATTTCAAAGGGAGAGAGAATCCTTTTTTGAGCAAGGAAGACAAAATTCCATAATGCAAAAATTGTAAATATCTCAAATAACTATTAAAAACGAACATAAAATGACAAATAATAAAAGTAAGAAATAAAGAAAAAAACGAAAAAAAAAGAAAAAAAAAAAGGGATTTCTTCCTTTTAAAATATTTAAAAATGGTTGTAAATTAATTTTAGAAGTTGAAATTAAAAAAAAAAAAAAAAAAAAAAAAAAAAAAAAAAAAAAAAAAAAAAAAAAA